CCTATTTCACTGGGCAAGTTCTAGAACCCCTTTTAGATATTCCAATCCGTTTTAGGCTGAAGATGGACTTACAAGCTTTCTGTAATCATGTTTCCCGACATTCCTTTCTCTCCCACTCAAGTGTCTATTTTAAAATAGTAAGCAAGGGAAACCAATATTCATAAGATAGTCAAGCATCTTAGTATTATTTCCCCTCTTCAGGATATGCCTTGATCCCTTTATCACAGAGCCCTGTTGTTCCAAGGTTGAGTACACATCACTATTTACCTCTGTCCCATTTAGCCCATACTATGCATGTATTTTGGAAGCCAATTTTATTAAATTGACAAGAAATTTGTACTTGTGTGGATTTCCAGAAACCTCCCGGATGCAAAATTAAAACATGTTTGTGCAGGAGAATTGTTATTTGAGACAATTACTGGACTTAAAAGTAGTCATGGTGTGGCCCTGTAGGATAAGCAGTAGACTGCAAACCGCAAGCCCGGCCATTCAAACTCAGCAGCCGCTCCTCGGAAACTCTATACAGGGTCGCTATTGAGTCAGAATCAACTCGCTGACACTTAGCAACAACAACATGAGTTGGAAGTTTTAACAACAACACTGGGCCTTAAAAGTTTCTTTAGATATGAAACTTTCTGAGACCATGATTTATTCATTCCACAAACATTTCTCATGGAAATTCTGGCTGGGGTTGAGGAAAGGAGAAGGAGAGGTAGAAAAAGTTGAGTCCAGAAAGGTAGATGGACAGGAACTGGGTCAGTCTTTGGAGGACTTGGGATAGTTTTCAAAGAGCAATCAAAAGGAAGCCACTAGAAGATATTAAACAAGTAAGAGACAATCATAGGATTTCTGTTTGCACAGTGGAGTGAATGTGAACAGGCAGGATGGCAGCATGGAAGCAGGGGCCCAGCAAGAAGTGACAGTGTCCCAAAGGGAGGAGGGACACGTGCATTGTGCTCCATTCAGCTGGTGGGTGCTCAGCCGGTGGAGGTTCCAGGACTGGTCTGCGTTCCAGCTTTGGGGGCTTGCTCTCTTGCCTCCCTCTCAGGAGGGTAGAGAGGGCTGCTGGACCCCTGAGTTTCTGGGCCTCGCAAGGAGGTCTTTTTCTCCAGTGAGTGGCTCTGAAGAATGACCCAGCCGGCTGCTCAGCTCACTAATCTGATCCTGCTCCTGCTTACTGAGGAGCGGACGTGGCAGGGGGTTGCTCTGGTGTGCTCCCAGCTCCTATTAACTGCAGTCCAGACCAGGAGAAAAGCTAGGGGATTACTGCTCTGGGGGCTCCCTGCCCCCTCCCCGCCCCACCACAGCTGAAGGGAAGGCTGGAACCTGCTTTCTTCCTCAGGAGACTTGCTTCTGTATGGGAGATAGGGACAGGATAGATTTTAAACCTGCCTTTTCGAGTGATAAGAGGAATGCAATTCCATTAGACACCATTGGAACAGTCAGGGAAACATAAGGAGACTAAGCGGAATTCAAAATATCATCTTGTATTATGATGATGGTTTGGCTTCTTTTCTCTGACATATACGAGGGGGCTTCCAAAAGTTTGCAGAAAACTTCAATTTTTAATTCCATTTTCCCCACGAACTTTTTGAAGCCCCTTGTGTATTGCCAGGGTCATATACTGTATATTGTTGTGTGCTTTCTAATGTTTTCATTTCGTGAGTCATCAAACCTCACCGTCAACATAGTTTTACTGTCTGCAAAGCAGTCTCTCTTTTCGTTTTCTTCTTCAGTATAAATTATGCCACTTTTTCCCATTTGTTGGGCATTTGGGGTGTTTGTAACTTTCTATCATTGAAAGGGAGGATGCAGTGCACATTTTTGTTTAGAAATTGATGACTGCACTTTGGACACTCCCTCCCCCGCCTCCAGCTAGTTTCTAGAAGGGGGATTAATGTGCAGTCTGATTCCCACCAAAAAGCAGCTCAGCTCCCGTTGGGGGAAGCAAAAAGATGGGCGGCTGCAGCCTGCCTCACATCGGCATTCTCCAAGCAGCAGCTCCTTGGTGTCTCCATGTCTGGAGGCTCTCTTTTCTCTAGAGACTCCGCTGGATGTAGGGTTGGAGAGGCAGCCAGGGATGCAACACCCCCGACCTCTCTCTCGGTTTGGTGGTGGAGTGTGGTTCAGCTGGGCCGCCATGAGTCCGGCTCCGCAACCCTGAGCGCCTTCATCCCCCGCTTTATGGGCCATTTCGTCATAAAAGAAGGCTGAGGAGGTGTGGGGCACCTGGGGGCGGGGGGGAGGGCGGGGATGCAGTTTTGTTATTGTTGTTGTGTAAGCAGCAGAACCCTCATTTTCACATTCAACCTTACCCAAATTCGGATCTAGAAAACAGCTTAAGGTGCCCTTGGCTTGAAAGAAAGCGGTTTGAAAGCTCTGGCCCAGGGTATGTAAGTTTCATTCCAGTTCATTTCGGTTCCCTATTGCTGAAGTTAAAATAAAACCACAAACAACTTTCATCTGTATTTAAAGCCCCAAAGGTGCTAATTGATGAAAGCTTTTCTCTAAAAGACCATTTGGAAATCAGACGAAGCGCCTTATAAAGATGAGCTGTTTGGAGAGGTAGTGAGCCGCACGAAGACGGCCGAGTCACAAGGGACTCTTCTTGGTCTAGAATAATTTCAGACCAAACCTCAGCCCACCATTGCTAGCAAAAGGAACCCCCCACCCCCACCCCAGCAGATATCTGTTGGGTTTTCAACACTGTGACTGCGGTAGTGGTGGATGTAACATGAGCCGCCTCTCTTCCTCCACTGGGACTCCGGCGACCTATGGGCTGCCTCCAATCACAAGCACCAAGGTGAAAACAGAGGGCAGCCCGCAGCCCTGGGATGGGGAGTGAGGAGGGAGTGGTACCGGGAGAAGCTCCAGGTCTGGGGACCCGCTTCCTCCGCCCTAAGAGGGGAGCTGCCTTCTCAGAGAGGCGGGGTGGGGTTGGCCTCTGGGATCCGCAGTGGCGTGTACAAGCGGGCCCTGACCCCACGGTGCTAGAAGTCCCCTCTCCTCCCCCAGGCCCTCCCAGGTCCGCAGGTGGACTGCTGGCCCACACAAAGAAAGCCGATGGCAATGTTGAATTCGTCCAAATTTAGGGGGAAGAGTCTGTCGCCCAGGGCCGGGGGTGGGAGGATCAAAACCCCCGCACCAGGCCAAGCTTATTGGAAAAGCCGAGTTTAGTGATTCTGGGATAGCGAGGTAACAGGATTAGCAGGATTAAGGAAATCACCTCAAACAGCTGACCGAAACTCAAACCTTAAGTCCATTTCGACTCCTAGCATCCCTGTGGGACAGGGTAGAACTTTCCCCAAAGTCTGAGGCTGTAAATCTTTAGGAAAGCAGACTTGACATACCTTTCTCCCATGGAGCTGCTAGTTCCAACCCCGTACATTTCCATTACAGCCAAGCGCTTTAACCACTGCGCCACCCGGGCTTCTCAAAAGACTGAGAAGGGATAAAAATATATATACTCCTGCTATTCGTTTTCTTCCTAGGCCCCAGACAGACACTTTTGGGGTGCCTGACTGGCTGTGAGAAGGGGGGTAAACAGGGTCAGGAACTGGACACAAGTGAGGGTTACCAAAGGAGTTGAGAGCGGGCTCAAGGTTCTAGAAAATACGAAGTCAATGGACTAGGTTGACAAGTTAAAAGAAAACTAGGCATTCGGAGATCTTCCTGATCTTTGGAAGTCTGAGGTGTACTTTTGTGAGCCAAACCTCTCAGTGTTGACTGCTGGCCCCTTTGCTTCAGTCGCCACAGTAGCAATTGATTTATTTCCGACTCGGGAGACCTGGCATCATTCTTTAATCGGACAACTGAGACTTTCCCAAGAGTGTTCGTTTTGTAAGTACTTAAGCCCCCGCTCCCTCGTCTACCCGCCCCAGTGCACAGAGATACAGGTGGCCCTTCTGGGGCCGTTTCCGCACCCGCCAGCGTCCCCGCCCCGTTCCGCGTGGCTGCCACAGCAGGCACCCCTTCAGGGGACGCTCACTGCCATCAACAAGTGTACAGACGCGGCCAGTGCGCGACTCTGCGAGCGTGTGCCCGATCCCCGGAGACCCGCTGCCAGACAACCCGCTGTCCCCTCCGAGTTTCCGTTGAGAAGAGTGTCAGCTAATGTGGTTTGGGGTCACCAAAAGTTAAAAAAAAGAAAAATCCGATGGCGCTCGCCTCCACCGCGGGCCCTCTCCCCACCCCCAGGTTATAAAACTCAGGTCCCTGGTTATAAAAAAGCCCCCTCCCCAGCCCACATCTAGCTCCAGGGCCGTGAAATTAGCAAGACTCCATCATGTTGGTTATAAAATTTATTGATCTCTCATTTAGGAATTCAAGAGTAAAATCTTTAAAAACCTGACACAAAATCGCCCCCTCCCCACTCCCCAAACGAAATCCGAACACATTCACTTCTGGCGCGACGAAATAGCAAACAGATCACGACAAAAATCACCAACTCAACGGCCTAAATGCGAACTGGACAGAAGCGGCCCGGGGCGGCGAGGCGGGGTGGGCACACGCACACCTGGCTATAAATTAACAGTGGCCTTTCGTTGCGGAGCCCTCGCGAGCGGAGGGCCTCCGGGTCCCACCTCGAGTACGCGGGCGGCACTGTCCCTGGGTTGCCTGGCCCCAAGCCGGTCCCTCCCACTCACTCACTCGGCTAACAGCAAACTAAGGAGACAACGTATCCAAATGCAGCAGGAAGACCCCGGCCCCGGACGGGGGAGGGGACTGCTGTTTCTTGGCCAATATCACCGCGCGCGATCCCAGCCTACAAAGGGTCGAGGGGGTGGCAACTGGCCGAGCGAGTTCTAGAAAGCCCCGTGGCCGCGGTCCCCGACTTCTCTTGGCTTTTGTACAAAACCCGACAGCTACAGCCAAACTTTCGGGTCTCCCCGACATCAGTACAAGGCAACAGTCCCAGGCAAGCAAAGCTAAACACAAGGCGTGCCGCCCGAGGAGGGCGGGCGGGCGGGCGGGCGGGCAGGCTGGCTGGCGCTGTGCGCTCAGATGTGGGTCAGCGGCACCGTGCCATTGACCGCAGTCCCGGCCCCCTGGTAGTGCTGGTGTACTCCGTGCAGGCGGCCGCCGGGCAGCGGAGACGAGGCGTCGGCCGCGTCCCCGCCGGGCGGCAGGTACATACTGATCATGTCGCGCAGATCACCGAGGCACGCGCGCTGCGAGTGCGACGCGATGGCGGGCGGCGGTGAACTGGGTTCCGACTTCACCACCGAGCCCATGGGACCCAGGCTCATGGCGGCGGCGGCGGCGGCGGCGGCAGCAGCGGTGGCCGCGGCCGGCTGCTGCCCATAAGCGGCGGCGGCGGCGGCGGCGGCCGAGGGTGCCATGCCCCCGTAGCCTGAGGCAGCGGCGGCGGCGGCGGCGGCGTTCATGTAGCTCTGGGCGCCCGGCGGCATCATGGGGCTGTACTGCAGGCCGGCCATGTCGTAGCGGTGCATCTGCGGCAGCGCGGGCGGCGGCGGCGGGCTGCTCATACCCGGGGGCTGCGCGTAGCCCAGCTGCTCCTGCACCAGCGAGTACGCGCCGTTGGCCCAGCCGTTCACGTGCGCGTACGTGTCCAGCCGCTGGCCCACGCCCACCGGGCTGCTGGCGGCCGCTGCAGCGGCGGCGGCGGCGGCGGCGGCACCGGGGGGCAGCAGGCCGCCTGGCAGGGAATACTTGTCCTTCTTAAGCAGCGTCTTGGTCTTGCGGCGCGGCCGATACTTGTAGTCCGGGTACTCCTTCATGTGCACTGCGCGCAGCCGCTTGGCCTCGTCGATGAACGGCCGCTTCTCGGCGTCCGTGAGCAGCTTCCAGTCGGCACCCAGGCGCTTGCTGATCTCCGAGTTGTGCATCTTGGGGTTCTCCAAGGCCATCTTGCGCCGTTGCCCGCGGGACCACACCATGAAGGCATTCATGGGCCGTTTCACGCGATCCTGGTCGCTGCCGCCGCTCGCGCCACCCGCGCCGCCGCCTGTGTTCGCGCCGCCGCCGCCTGCGTTCGCGCCGCTCTTGTTGGCGCCTCCCGGGGCCGCGGGGCCGCCCGCGCCCGCCGCCGGGGTTGGTGGCCCCACGGGGCTCTTGAGCTCAGTCTCCAGTAGGCTGTACATGGCCGGGGCGGGGAGGAGGTGCGCCAGCGTGGCAGGAGGAGAAGGCGCTCCCGGGGCGGGAGCGGCCACAGCGAAAAGGCGCGAGGGCTCCGTCGGAGGGGCACTGGGGGGCCGGAGGGCCGATGTGGCGGGCGGGAAGGGCAAGCTTGCAGAAGTGTCCCGAAAGCTACTCGCACCCGATACGTTGGCTGAAGCTGGTCGCCTAGGCTGCCTGGCTACGGGGCGCTCGCCGGACCCTTATATACCTGCTCATATCCCCCGGGATCGGGGCTCGGTCCGCCTCCCGCCATAGGGGGGCCCAGTGATTGACAGCCTTGCAGTGACGCGCCCTGACCAATCACCACGGAGCCCCGGGTCGGCCCGTTTGGAGAAAAAAAAAAGTTCGGGGAGCCCTTTCGTTCACCCTCACGCCCCTCTTGGGCCCCGTGACATGCGGAGAGTTATTCAGGAGGCGGGAGTGAGGGAAACCCGCTCAGAGACCACCAATTAGGGGCTCGGAAAGTTTGAAAGAACGAAGCTGGAGGAGGTGACGGGCTAGCGAGGGGAGGGGGGGCGAGCAGGGCTGCTCTGAACGGCTGGGGGCCGAGGGGCGCCCGCGGGGCCAGAAGACAACTTTGCAGCCCTGTTCGGGCCGAGTGGTGTCCTGTTCCGGCCAGATCGCGGAGCTTCCCGCAGTCTGAGCCAAAGTCCGCCAGCCGAGTCAGTTGCCAGCTTTAGGGGCACCGGGCACCAACAGGCTCCAGAGGCGGACTCGGGCCGAAGGGCGCAGCCAAGGTGCCTGGACTGCGGCTTTAAGAGGCCCCCTCCTTCCGGGGTCGGCCGCTGGCCGCCTGGGCCTTCCTCTGGAACATGGACGGTCAGCGCGTCCAGGCCGAATCGGGGGTTCGAGGCCGGATTGCTGGGCTCCCGGGATGGTGCGCTGGCGATGGGTGGACGAGTACCGGGGCCTGTCCGATGGCACTGTCGGGGCGGGCGGAGGCGCTCACACGCGGGTGTTGGGAGGGGATGAGCCAGTTCTGGCTCCCGGGCTCTCGGTCCCCCCCTCCCCTTAGCGGCCCCTTTTTGTCTCTGCTCTCTGGCCATTTCGGGTTTTCCAGTCCGATGCCCCCGAGGGGGAGGGTCGGGCTCCTTGGAAAATCCGTTTTCATGGCAACACGGAGCCTCTCAGAGTGAAAGAAAAGTTTCTTGGGGCGTGGGGGGTGGCCGGAGCGGAGCCAGGGCGGTCCTTGAGGGAACCGCCGAGCCCCTCCTCTGGCTGCGCACCTGCGGGGACCCAGCCGGCTGCGCCCCCCCCCCCCCCAGGAGGCAGGCTCTGTTAACCGCTGCTGTCCTTTTTCCTTCTTGTTTTCCAGCCGCCCAGACTCGGGCGCCGAGAGTAGAGCCGAACACTCACCAGCGTGGCGAGCTGTCTGTCAAAAGTCGAGCGGCGCGGGAACCTAGGCTTCCAGGAGAGGGAAACCCGACAATTGCCGCCGCCAGCCCCAGCTGAGTGGCATCGCGTCTGAAACTCCCGGAGGCGGCGGGTGGGAAGAAGTCAGCCAGGCAGAAGTGGCCGAGACCGAAATAAAGTGTCCGCGCGGTGTGGGGCCTTGGCCCCTAGCCCCGTGGAAAGGTGGGGAAAAAGGAAGGTGCAAATCTTAATTGTGCGCCCCAAGTTCCAGGCTCCTACCTACTTAGCGTTCATGTCAGACCAGGCAAGGCCCCCGGGACGCCAGCACGTTTGATTCTCTCCCTTTATTTCCTGTGGTAATGAAAAAGTACGTCGCAGTGGCTCTGGGGGGTGCAGAGCAGGTCAGCCCTCTGGCATTAAAATTCCAGCTCCAGGCCGGCATCACCTCCTGGGAGTTCAGGGTCCCCATACCCGCCCCCAGAGTTTGTGGAACGCCTCGTTTGTGTTCTCTTGCCCATTGTGGATGTGTGTCTGTGCGCACGCTTGAGGAGGGGTGAGCACAACACGAAGGCCAACACTGGAAGGCATGTCTCAAAAAATAGAATTAATTCGACACTCTCCCAACCCCTTCTCCAGGTTTGTGGGCAAACTGGCTGACAAAATCATAGTTTCCTAGGCAAACCCACCTTCCCCCAAAGACACCTGTGTACAGTAGCCCCTGTCCTCGCTGTAATGCCCAAATACCCCTTCTGGGTTCTCAATCTTCCCCCACCACCACCCGTGGCCTGAGCTGTTGCTAAGTGAAACGCGTTTTTAGGAAACTACCCAACCGACGCGCGGCCTGGTGTCCAGTAGCCTAACAGATGTCAGGAGGCTTTCCAAGTTCCACCCAAGTAAACCATTGTGGCGACAGCGCTCTGAGCTGCGGATTTCCAAAGGCAGGGATGCAGTCCTGGGGCCCTCGCTTTTCTTGCACCGGGGTTTCTAGGGAAACCAGTCACACACACACACACACACACACACACACACACACGCCCCGTGTCTGTCATTTGAGCACTCTTACCTGATGGAGTCCTGGTATCGCGCTGCGGGTTACTGCGCTGTACTGCAAGGTCGGTTTGAACCCCAAGGTCGGCGGTTCAAGCTCACCAGCCGCTCCTCAGAAACCCTATACAGGGTCGCTGTAAGCCAGAACCAACTCGACGGCACTTAACAACAACAACTTGGTACGCACGGATTAGGTGAGCGCTTTTCAGTACATCCTTCCGCTAGGTTTATAGCAGTTTCGCTAGGATCACACATTCTCAACCGCCCCCCACCCCCACCGCTTGGTGGCCGCCCTCCCACACCCGGATTCATTGCGTCTCTATGACCAGCGATTCTGGGTGATCAGCACCACCCTAAATAAGAGTCGGGACGAATTTCCTTCGGAACTCTTCCAAAGAAACTTTCCGAGCCCAAACGACCAGCAAGGTTGTCACTGCCAGCACGAGATGAGGAAACAAGTTATCTGACCCACCATTAGTGCGACCTTCGCCGGCCCGGGGGAAGTGTCGCGGCAGTACTATGGCCCTAGGGGCATCGCTTCTGACTGAGGCTGTGAGGCGGCATGACCGCAGGGCCTGAACCGCCAAGGCTCCGGCAGGCACCTGGCATCCTGCAAGACACACGGAGGGACGCAGGGGGCCCCAGGTCTGGTCCTTTCCCACCCCGCCCTGGCATTTCGCTCGCCCATCTTCGAGGACACTCCCGGGGTCTGTGGACAGCGCCCGGAGCCTAACCCCGGGCCAGACGACCCCAGCCCTCCTCAGAGGCTCAGACTCCCTCGGCCTGGAGCGGGGCCTGGGGTTCCAGGACCCAGGGCGTGGCAACAGCGCCGTTTGTTGGCTTTGGAGAGAAACTTCACTTGGAGGCGCCCCTACCTGACCCTCCGAGGGGCCGAGGAGACCTGCTTCGCTGGGGAACAGAAATTGGGTTGGGTCCTTGTTGCTGTTAGTGCCGTCGAAGTGGTTCTGACTCATAGCGACCCTGCATAGGGTTTCCGAGGAAAGGCTGGTGGGTTTGAACCACCGACCTTGTGGTTAGCAGTCCAGCGCTTATCCTACAGCGCCACACAAGGACTCTGTTACTGTTGTTAAGTGCTGTCAGGTCAGTTCCGACTCATAGCGATCCTGTATAGGGTTTCCGAGGAGTGGCTGGTGAGTTTGAACCGCCAACTTTGCGGTTCAAACCGACATATGGTCGAGTGCTTATCCTACAGTGCCACACCAGGACTGCACACCAAGACTCTAGAGGGCCCATAATTGCAACGAGTGGAAACCTGGGCGCGGAGGGCGCACTCGCGCAGCCTTTGAGCCTGGGCGGAATTCGTACTCCCAAGGGCCGCGTCTTTGCCAGGTCCCCTCTTAGTAGCTATGCCTGGGAGCTACTGGAAACGCGAGCAGGAGAAGGGTGGTCCCCAGGAATGGCGCGCGTAGATTCCTTCTCGGCATCTGAGTCCAGGAGACCTTTCCCAAGCGCCAGACCAGGCTCTTAGAAGAGCGGACCTTTTCGTGCTTGGTGGGCCAGGCCCGGTGCGTGTGTTTTCCCCTCCCGGAACAGGGCGACAGCTGGGCTCCACCGGACACGCTGAGGCCTGCTTGACAAGAGGGCCGCCTAAGCGGGCCCTCCCTCTGGACATGGCCCAGCGTTGCCTTTCAGAAGGTTTTCCTAGGTCAGCCGAGTCTAGCGCGCAGTCTGACTTGGAGGGATTAAGAATGTCTTACTCTGGAGACCCCGAAGACGCTTTATTTTCCAGTAGACAAAAGTTTTCCCAAATTAAGAGCAGTCCTTTACATTCCTAATTTGAGAACATTCCCTGTATCTGTTTTCAGATTCCTACCCAAGGAGATGGAGTCCTAGTGTGGCGTTGTAGGATAAAGCACTGGACCGCAATGTCGACTTGAACTTCAAGGTCGGCGGTTCAAATCTACCAGCCGCTCCTCGGAAACCCTATACATGGTCGATATGAATAGGAACCGACTCGATGGCACATAACAACAACAGCCCAGGAGATGGTACATTTAGGCCAATAGATCAAGAAATCAGAGGCTTGGGGCTATTGGAGCACCACCTCTTGTTTTTTTGTTTTTGTTTTTAAAGGTCGAGTTACCAGCACCACAGGGGGTGTCCCTCCCCCTCTCCCGCAGAGCATCCCTAGTCCCCCAGCTTCCCAAGGCAGCACTGGGAACTAAGAATCCACGCTGCAGTTGATGCTCTCTCAAGAAAGGTTGCTAGGAGCTGAGGTGTGTTGTGACACGATCCTCGAGGTCCGAAAGCCTGTGTTCTATTGCACTTCGTTAGCTCTTTTGGGGATGAGGTGGAGTGTAATTTTTAAAGCGAGTTTTCAAATTCGATTCACTTGGTCAGCTGAGCTGTACTTGGTAGAGACCCTGGGAGTCCTCTTGGCCCACACCTTAGCGCTTAGATGCAAGGATTCCTTCCATCCCCAGGGTATTAAGATGTTAATGACAGTCTTCTGGAGTTGGGAGCAGGGCCGCGTTGGCCAGAAATGAGGAGGAATAGCGTTCAACGCCCCTTTGCCGACCTCTCAACCAAAAACAGCCATCTCCCCAGGAAAAGGAAGATGCTGCCTAGCCCCACTTCCAGAGGGCCTTCTGGGTCACAGCTTCTTTGCATTCCTCCTACCATCTCCTACCTCCATCCCTTCCCCTCCTACTCCCCCGCGAAGCCTCTCCGCTGGCGCTCAACTCACCAG